ACACGCAGGCTCAGCGGCCATGGCTCACGGGCCCAGCCGCTCCGCGGCATGTGGGATCCTCCCGGACTGGGGCACGAACCCTTGTCCCCTGCAGCGGCAGGCGGACTCTCAACCACTGCACCACCCGGGAAGTCTGGGAAGGCAGATTCTTATCTGACCAGAGCAGAGTGTGACTTTTTTTGTTTCTTCTTGCCTTTGCTTCCCCCATGGAGACGGGCAGTGACGCTCTGCAGTCAGCACTGAGTCTGCACTTGGAGGCTGAACCAGAGTCTGATCTTCTGGTCTGCTCGCTTTGACCACTTGATCATGGGATGGAATGTGCCCCGTACACCTCTCACAGGCCTCCCTGCCTAGGGTGGGGGACAGCAACCTCCCCCTCGAAGCAAACTGAACGGCTTGGTATTTAAACTTTCAGCAACTCTCTCTGCTCAAAGAAATAACACTCAAGTAGAAAGTTAGGCTCTCTGTATCTGCTTCCCATTTGCTTCCAACTCATACCCCGAGTCCTCTGGTTGGAAGGTCACCTGCCTTCCCCAGCTCCCCAGTTCTTCCAGGGCCTGGAGGACGGACTCCTTTGTAAAACTCCTCCTGTAACAGAGAGCTTTGTGCTCCAGTGGAAAAACTGGCAGCACAGAAAGCCTCTACCCATGTATAATTTAGCCTGATTACCTGGGGCGGCAGGCACAGCTCAGAGGACCATGTCACATGCGCCTCGGGGTCCCCACCTAAAACTGGGGCATCTCATGACACTGGAGGGAGAGGATGATGTCTGTCTTGCTCCCTGCGTTGGTGTCACAATTACAACTGAAAAGACACAGTGGAGATAGGCGATTCTCAAAGGAACAGGCCACAGAACATCTCTGGCAGAGGCGCGAACAGCTGGCCAAACACACTCATGGTCCTGAAACTCTCCCATCACGCTGCAGAGGAAAATGCCAGGAAATCCATGCTGAAGCCCAGTGGACAGGCTCCCCTAAACATGGATCAGCTGCCCTCCACCACTGCATGGGAAGGAGAGAGGAAGGATCAACTATAATGTGGAGGCGTCCAGGTAGAACTGCGGACACTTTTAGATTTTTTTTAAGTCAAAGTAAGTTTTCACGGGACTGATCAAGAGAAGAGCAGGGACAGAAAACTGGCCGGACCACGTGGAACCCTGCTTGAAGAGGGGACATCACATGGGAAAAGCCTGCAGAGGGACTTTTGCAAAACTGGCTGTGGCTTAACCCCTCCAACAGGATGAGGCAGAAGTAAAAAGCAAGTTCAAGTTAAGGGGGAAGTCCCCTTGAAGGCCTGCCAACCAGCTCCTGGGTGCTTTTCCTTACATGTCAACATCACTGTACTACTGCAGCACCCACTCGAGAAGGCTCAGTGTAACCTCATCCTTGCTGGCAAGTGGCCCCTGGCACTGACCACTTCCCAGATAGAAAGCGTGGCATGACTCACCCCCCACTGGACAGCACCCAGGACTTGGAATGTGTCGATAGGAAGGTAACTTTACGGGGGCAGATGCCCAGGAAAGCAATCGACTGAGAAGCCTCTGGTCCCTTGAGTTAGTTGATTGGCAGGAAGTAATAGGCTGAAGCCAACTGAGGGCTGCACAGTGGTCCACATGCCTAGGCAGGGTGGCCTTTGAGAGGTGTGTGGGGCACACTCCATCCCATGATCAACTGGTCAAAGCGAGCAGACCAGAAGATCAAACTCTGGTTCAGCCTCCAAGTGTAGAGTCGGTGCTAACTGCAGAGCGTCACTGTCCACAACTGTAACCCCACTAACAATTGCCTTTGCAATGCACAAAAAGTTTAAATTTACTTATTGCACAAAAACATTGTAAAACAACAGAAATCAAATATCTAGCCCTCCAACGTTACAAAATCTTAACGTGAGGTTTTTGGAGAAAGGGTTTTAAAAATGACATGGTTGTTGTTTACTTCAAGTGGTAGAGCCGCTCCTGAAAACTTGTGTGTAAATTAGCCTTATGCAAAACAAACCCTCCTTAAAACGCACCAGGTAACAGACACTGTTTTAAGCCCCTTATGTGCATCTGTTCATTTAGCTTTCAGAAGCCCTGCAGGTAAGCATTATTGATATCTTTTATTATCTTCATTTTGTAGGTGGAAAACTGTGACACAGAAAGGCTGAGGAACTTGCCCAAGGCTGCAGAGCTGGGTTTGGACTGGGTACCCAGCTTTCTGAGCCCACGTTCCTAATCACAGGGTACACTGCCTCCCAATGGACTCATGGGGAGTTAGTTCCCTAGCCAACACCTGTCCTTCCCAAATACACAGTTTATAAAGATGTACTGTCACACCTGGTCAGGTTTGGTGTGAACCACACCCCACACTTAAAGCCCCTAAGGGAAATAAATGCTTGTTTCCTAATAAGTCATCATACAGCTAAGACAGAGCTGAACTCATAAAGAAACCCCTGCTGCCTCATCTTTGGTGGATGCCCATATCCATTCCCCCTTTTCCTTTCCTAGAAACACCCCAAATAGCTTTGGGTAGCAATATACCCAGTTAAAAACACAACTCCCAACAGAGGATCTACAAAAAAGCTCAGCTAATGTCATATTTAATAGTCAAAGACTGAGTGCTTTCCCCCTAAGATCAGGAAGAAGATGAGGCTGTCCATTATCTCCACTTCTATTCAACACTGTACTGGGGGCCCTGGCCACAGCAATAAAGCAAGAAAAATAAATTAAAGGCCTAGAATTCGGAAATGAGTAAGTAAGACAGTCTTTATACAGAAAGACGTGATGTTTTATGCAGAAAATCCTAAGGAATATATAATAAAGCTACCAGGACTAATAAGCCAATTAAGCAAAATCACGAGATACAAGACTCTTATATACAAAAGTCAATTGTATTTCTGTATTCTAGAAATGAACAATGAGAACTTGAAATTTCAATGCTGTTGCAGTAACATCAAACATATGACATATTTACGGACACCTTTTACAAAGTACTTGCAATATCTGTACATGAAAACTGAAAAAAATGTTGCGGAAGGCAATTTAAAAGGAGCACCTAAATAAAGGGAGAGATATACGGTGCTTGCGGGTCAGAGAACTCCATACTGCTAAGACATCATTTCTTCTCA